TGTATTTGTATATAAATGTTCATAGGAACATCATTCATAATAGCCAAATGTCCACTGACAGATAAATGGATAAACAAAATGTGGTATATACATTCAAGGATATTATTTAGCCTTAAAAAGGAAGGAAATTCTGACACATGATACAATATGGATGAATCTTGAGGACATTATCTTACATGAAATAAGCCATTGTCTGATTCCAATTATATGAAGTCCCTAGAATGGTCAAATTCATAGAAACAGAAAGTAGAAGGGTGGTTGCCAATGGCTGTGTGTATGCGTGCGTCTGTGTGTGTGTGTGTGTGTGTGTGTGCCTGCACATGAGAAATAGGAAGTTATTGTTTAAAGGATACAGAGTTGCAGTTTGCAAAATAGAAAATTCTGGAGATGGATAGTTGCATAAAAACGTGAACCACTTCATGCCACTGAACTATACACTTAAAAATGGTTAGGCCCTAGTAAACATAATGTTCTTCATATAATTGTAGATTAATGATGACCAAAAAAATAAAAAATAAAGCACAGGAACAATATAAAAAAAAAGAATGGTTAGGGTAGTAAATTTTTTATGTGTATTTTACTACAATGAAAACAAAAATCAATGGCCTAAGGCTTGTAGCTTAAGAAGGTAGAAAGACAGCAAGACAAACCCAAAAGAAATAGAAGGAAATAAAGTCCAGACATAAATGAAATAGGAACCAGACAAACTACAGAAAAAAATTTAAGCCAAAACCTGGTTCTCTGAAGAGATGTGTAAAATTGATAAACCTTTGGCTACAGTGATCCAGTAAAAAGCAGGATGGAAAGCAAGGCAGGGGGCAGTGGGCAGCAGAAAGAAAACCTGGGAAGGATATATACAGAATGATGAAGATGGTAGAAAGATCCAGAAGCTCAGTGTGTAGAGTGTTGTAAGGAGTGGTTGACAGTGTCAAATGCTGCTGTTAGGTCAAATAAGACACAGACCAAAGTCCATTTAATTTAGTCACAAGGAGTCACTGATGACTTTAGAAAAGCACCTAAGGGAGAGAGGTAGTAGAGTCAGATGCTAGACTGCAATTGGCAAAGATAAAGAATATATAGAAATGAGGAAGTAAAAACTTTGAGTATAGACAGTCCAATGTGAAGAAGTTTGGTTCTAAAGATAGAGCAGTGGGGTTAGCCAAAGGGTAATAAGGGCTCAAGGGAGGATACTTTTATAGAATGGAAGAAACTAGAGAATGTGTTTTACTCCTAGATAAATTGTTTTTATTTTGGTAAAATACCCAGAGAATGTTTTGATTGTTGGAAAAGACTCAGAGAAGAAAAAAAGTTAAAGATACAGGGAACAGTGATAACAGGTAGCATAAGGTCCCTGGACAGGTAGAAGAAAGTGGAGTCAGTGGATGAGTAAAAGAATTAGCCTTAAACAGGAGACCCAGTGCTAGGAAAAAGAGGAAAAGAAGGGTACGGTTACAGTTAAGTATGTAGGTGGGTACTGAGAGGTAGTGGGAGTTCTTGCCTGATAGTTTAGGCTTTTATTTCTCTGAAGTTATAGGTAGAGGTAGACTGAATAGAGGAGATAAAGAAAAAACAAACCTAAAATTTGAGGAAAATGAGAAATGTGTGTGGAGGAAAAAAACAGAAGGATACCTATAAGGCACTGAAGACCCAATTGAAATTGGAGACCACAAATTTGTAGTGTCAATCATCTATGGCTTTTGAAGTATACCTCAATAAACGCAAAAAATAATCTATGGCTTCTGAAGTAGATCTCAATAAATGCAAAAAAAAAAATCAATGGCTTTGAACCAGTTCTTTAAAAAATAACAATAATCACTAGTTAATAGTACTTAATATATGCAAGGCATTGCTTTAAGTATTTTTTACATATTAAACACTTTAATTTTCATATAACCTTTTGAGAGAGGAATTCCTTGGTATTTTCATTTTACCAGTAAGTAAAGAACTAGAGAAGTTAAGGAACTAGCCCAAGGCTACAGCACTAGTAAGCATTAGTTAAGGTTTGAACAAAGGTGATATGCTCAGTTTGTGCTCTCAACACTTTAGCGTACTGCCTCTCAAAGTAAAGCTAAGTAAACCTAGTTGAAGGAAGTAGAAATGAGGAAGAAACAATACCGGAAGGGCCAAAAAACACAGAAAAGCAGTGATTTCTGTAAATACAAATAATTCTCATAGAAGTATGATCTGTACAGTTTATATGGTTTATGTGGTAAAAGTCAGCAAAGATAAAAGAAATTGTGTTCATACAGGAATGGAAAGCCATCAAATCTAAATGAGCAGTGTGGAAGATCCAAAGCAGAAAGGAAGAAGAGTAAAACCCAGGTAGTCAAAAATGTAAAAAGTGAAAGTGGAACGAACACCCGCACACAACCCCACCCCCAC